ACTGAAAACATATTCAGCAAAATAGTGGCAGAAAACTTCCCAGGTATAGGAAAAGACATGGATCGTCAGAGTCAAGAAGCTCAAATATCCCCAAATGTATTCAGCCCAAAAAGGTCTTCTCCAAGACATGTTATATAGTCAAATTGGCAAAACTCAAAGACAAAGAGAGAATCTTAAAAGCTGCAAGAGAGAAGCATCAAATCACCTAAAAGGGAGCCCCAATCAGACTAACATCAGACTACTCAGCACAAACCCTAAAAGCCAGAAAGGAATGGGATGATATATTCAAAATACTAAAAGACAGAGATTGCTAGCCAAGAATACTCTACCCCACAATGCTATCCTTCCAAAATGAAGGGCAAATAGTATATTTCTCAGACAAACAAAATTGCAGGAGTTCACAAACACATGACCACCATTACAAGAAATTCTCAAAGGAGTACTGGGTTTGGTACCTGAAAAATAATTACCACTGCCATAAAAACTCAAGAAAAATCAAAACCCACTAGTAAAATTAAAATGCCAACAATGAAGAGGAAAAAAGAAAAAGTTTATCTACAACCCAAGAAACCAACAAATACAGAAGACAAACATTAAATCAGAAAGAAAGGAACAAAAGACACTTAAGACATACAAACAAAAATCAATAAAATGCTGGGAGTAAATCAACACTTTTCAATAACAACTCTTAATGTAAAAGGATTAAATCCCCCAATCAAAAGACACAGACTGACTGACTGGATTAAAAAGGAGGACCCAACTATATGCTGCCTTCAAGAGACCCACCTCACCTACAAAGACTCACATAGACTATGAGTGAAAGAATGGAAAAAGATTTACCAGGCAAACAGAAATGAAAAACGAGCTGGAGTAGCTATTCTTATATACTGATAAAATAGACTTTAAACTAAAAACCATAAAAAGAGATAATGAGGGCTACTACATAATGATAAAAGGATTCATCCATCAAGAAGACATAACAATCATAAATATATGTGCACCCAATGTCGGAGCAGCCAGATTTATAAAGCAAACTCTATTAGACCTAAAGAAGGAAATAGACACTAATACCTTAATAACAGGGGACATGAACACCTCACTGTCAATATTGGACAGATGATCTAGGCAAAGGATCAGCAGAGGAACACAAGATCTAAATAACACACTAGACCAATTGGATCTGGCAGATATCTACAGAACATTCCATCCAAAGATCACAGAATATTCATTCTTCTCATCAGCACATGGATCATTCTCCAGGATAGATCACGTTAGGTCACAAATCAAGTCTCAACAAATTCAAAAAAATTGGATTTATCCCACGTATTTTCTCAGACCACAATGGCTTAAAATTAGAAATCAATAACAAATGAAATTCTGGAAACTATACAAACACATGGAAATTAAACAGCATTCTACTTAATGACATATGGGTCCAAGAAGAAATCAAGCAGGAAATCAAAAAATTTCTTGAAAATAATGAAAATAATGATACATCATAACAAAACCTGTGGGATGCTGCAAAAGCAGTACTAAGGGGGAAATTTATCGCATTAAATGCTCACTTTAGAAGAATGGAAAGATGGCAAGTGAACAACCTAACATCACTTTAAAGAACTAGAAAAACAAGAACAATCCAAACCTAAAGTTAGCAGATGGAAAGAAATCATTAAGATCAGAGCAAGACTTAATGAAATTGAAACCCAAAAAACAATACAAAAAGATCAATGAATCAAAAAGTTGGTTTTTGAAAAGAAAAATAAAATTGACAGACCATTAGCATGGCTAACTAAAAGAGAGAAGACTCAAATAACAAAAATTAGAAATGAAAAAGGTGATATTACAACTGATACCTCTGAAATATAAGTAATCATTAGAGACTACTATAAACAACTATATGCGAACAAATTTGAAAATCTGGAGGAAATGGTTAAATTTCTGGACACACACAAACTACCAAAACTGAGCCAAGATGATGTAGAAAATCTGAAGAGACCAATAACAATAAAAGAGATTGAAGCTCTTATCAGAAGGCTCCCAACAAAGAAAAGCCCAGGTCCAGATGGATTCACAGCAGAATTCTACCAAACATTCAAAGAGGAATTGACACCAATTCTCTACAAACTATTCCGAAAGATTGAAACAGGACATTCGCCCAAACTCATTCTATGAAGCAAATATCACCCTGATACCAAAACCAAGTAAGGATACAACAAAAAAAGAAAACTGCAGGCCAATATCCTTGATGAATATAGATGCAAAAATCCTCAATAAAATACTAGCTAACAGAATACAGAAACACATAAACAAAATTATACACCATGATCAAGTGGGATTCATCCCAGGGATGCAAGGTTGGTTCAAAATATGCAAATCAATAAATGTGATGCACCATATCAACAAAATCAAACACAAGGACCATATGATCATCAAAAAGCATTTGATAAAATTCAACACTCATTCATGATAAAGACTCTCTACAAGTTAGGATAGATGGAAAGTATCTCAACATAATTAAAGCCATATATGATAAACCCACTGCCAATATCATCCTGAATGGGGAAAATATGAAAGCTTTTCCCTTAAGAACAGGAACTAGACAAGGATGCCCACTCTCTCCACTCCTATTCAACATAGTGTTGGAAGTACTAACCAGAGAAATCAGAGAAGGAAATAAAGGGCATCTAAATTGGAAAAGATGAAGTCAAACTGTCCCTGTTTGCAGATGACATGATCCTATATATTGAACAGCCTAAAGCCTCTACAAAAAAACTCTTGGAGTTGATAAATGATTTCAGCACAGTAGCAGGATACAAAATCAACACAAAAATATCAGTAGCATTTCTGTTCTCCAATAGTGAACATGCAGAAAGAGAAATCAAGAAAGCTAGCCCATTTACATAGCCACCAAAAAAACAGAATACTTATGAATAGAGTTAACCAAGGATGTGAAAAATCACTATAATGAGAACTACAAACCACTGTTGAGAGAAATTAAAGAGGATACAAGAAGACGGAAAGATATCCCATGCTCTTGGATTGGAAGAATCAACATTGTGACAATGTCCACACTACCCAAAGTGATATACAAATTCAATGCGATCCCCATCAAAATTCCAATGACATTTTTCTCAGAAATGGAAAAAACTATCCAGACATTTATATGGAATAACAATAGACCAGCATAGCCAAAGCAATTCTGAGCAAAAAAAAAATAAAGCTGGAGGCATAACACTACCTGACTTTATGCTACAAAGCTATAATAACCAAAACAGCATGGTAGTGGCATAAAAACAGACACACTGATCAATGGAATAGAGAATCCAGAAATCAACCGACACACCTACAGCCATCTGATCTTTGACAAAGGCACCAAGCCTATAAACTGGGGAAGAGACTGTCTCTTTAGCAAATGGTGCTGGGATAACTGGATATCCATATGCAGGAGAATGAAACTAGACCCATACCTCTCACCATATACTAAAATCAACTCAAAATGGATTAAAGAATGAAATACACACCCTGAAACAATAAAACTTCTTAAAGAAAACATAGGAGAAACACTTCAGGAAGTAGGACTGGGCACAGACTTCATGAATACGATCCCAAATGCACAGGCAACCAAAGAAAAATAAACAAATGGGATTATATAAAACTAAAAAGCTTTTGCACAGAAAAAGAAACAATCAACAGAGTTAAAAGACAACCAACCGAGTGGGAGAAAATATTTGCAAAATATATATCCAACAAAGTAATACCTTAATAACAGATATGCAGGAACATGAAATTAGACCCATACCTCTCACCATATACTAAAATCAACTCAAAATGGATTAAAGAATTAAATATACACCCTGAAACAATAAAACTTCTTAAAGAAAACATAGGAGAAACACTTCAGGAAGTAGGACTGGGCACAGAATTCATGAATACAACCCCAAAAGCACGGGCAACCAAAAGAAAAGTAAACAAATGGGGTTATATCAAACTAAAAAGCTTCTGCCCAGCAAAAGTAACAATTAACAGAGGTAAAAGACAACCAACAGAGTCTGAGAAAGTATTTGCAAAATATACATCTGACAAAGGAATAATATACATTATATACAAGGAACTGAAACAACTTTACAACAAAAAAAAAAACAAGTAACTCAATTAAAAAATGGGCAAAAGAGGTAAATAGGTATTTCCCAAAGGAAGATATACAAATGGCCAACAGACACATGAAAAAACGCTCAACATCACTCAGCATTCAGGAAATGCAAATTAAAACTACACTGTGATACCATCTCACCCTAGTTAGGATGGCTAATATCCAAAGGACTGTGAATGATAAATGCTGGCAAGGTTGCGGAGAAAAAGGAACTCTCATACATTGTTTGTGGGACTGCAAAATGGTGCAGCCTCTATGTAAAATAGTATGGAGGTTCCTCAAACAATTGCAGATAGATCTACCATATGACCCAGCTATCCCACTGCTGGGAATATACCCAGAGGAATGGATATCATCAAATCGAAGGTATACCTGTTCTCCAATGTTCACTGCAGCACTATTTACAATAGCCAAGAGTTGGAACCAGCCCAAATGTCCATCATCAGATGAGTGGATACAGAAAATGTGGTATATCTACACAATGGAATACTACTCTGCTATAAAAAAGAATGAAATACTGCCATTTGCAACAACATGGATGAACCTAGAGAATTATATTAGTGTGAAACGAGTCAAGCACAGAAAGAGAAATATCACATGTTCTCACTTATTTGTGGGAGCTAAAAATAAATAAATACACAAATAAACGGGGGGGGGAAGAAGACACAATAATTACAATTCCTTGAAGTTGATACAACAAGAGAACAGATATGAAGTTGTTGGGAGGGAGGGGGGAGAGGGAGGAGGCAGAGAGGTTTTGGTAATGGGCCACAATAATCAACCACATTGTATATTGACAAAATAAAATAAAACTAAAAAAATAAAAAAATAAAAAAACAAGCAAATGTTGTATAGGGTATCTGATTTTTTTTTAATCCGAACAGAAAATAGGTACACAAGTTTGCTAAAGAGAATTGGTAAAAACTGAATGTTACATATTATGGAATCAGTACATCGAGTTTACTTTGGTAGCCAGTGATTCTTATAGTTAATTCTGAAAAAAACAAAACTGGTTATGTAGAAAGAAGAGTACAAAATGCCCCTTTCTGAACCTCAGTTTGGTAAAACTGATTTCAAATCTAGCTTATTAATTATATTCACTTTCAGTTCTCCCTGTGCAAATAATACATGTAGTTATTAACGGTGGTTTGGTGAGCTGAGATTGATTTCCATTAAGATAGTTCAACATAATAACCAAAATATTAAAAAGTTATTCAAAATTCACAGAAATAAACCAGTGCCTAGAAAACAAAATTCATCCATATGCATAATAATTTTATAACATTTTTTAAACAAAATCACGATCAAAGACAGTGATAGCATTTCATACTTAGTGCATTCATGTAGTGCATTCCTATGGCTCATCTGGAATTTAATACCATCTAACCACCATACTTCTAATGAATGGGCTTCTTACAATACACAATCTTTCCAATTCTTTTAAAAATCTAAAATACTTGTAAGACCTTGAGCATGACATGTAAGGACTTTGTGTTTTAATACCCCAAACATTGTGAAGATTAGGTGTGACATGTAGTAACCACTCCTTGTAAGCAAGACTGCACATATACATTTGTTACATCACCACAAAGAACCCTCAAATAACGCAATACTGCAGATTGAGAGGGGCATTTATTTAGCTAAAGAAAATACAAATGGCCTTCCTGGAGTCAAATGCACCCCAAGACATATACAAGGGATGAGTATATAATTGCGACAGCTAAAAAAATCTGCCACTGTGTAATAAATGCTATTATGCAATGATGTTATACATTTTAATAATACATTACGATTTGTTTCCCACTACCATGGGGCACAAGAAAATGAAACTCAGGACTATCTTGTTAGAATAGGACAAATGATGACCCCAGTTTTAAACAGGGTTCTTCATTGAAGGAAAAGACAGAGCCATAAAAGTCAAATTAGCTGACTTCAAATGGTTTACATCCCAGGATGAATCAGGTTACACTAATTTAAGCCCAATTTAATTTAGGCAGGTTTTAACCACAAGAATAAGGACATTCTTAGTACATATTAATAATTAAACCAACATATACACAATTAGCAATATCCTATATAATATTAAATGTTTTAACAACTTGTCTTCAATTATTCTGTATCTAGTTAATCTTTTGCTTTGTGTAAAAAAAAAAGGAAAGCTCAACTTTATTTTACAATGTACTTTGTATTTCTAAGTGTATTCTTTAATTATTTCATTGAAGCAGATACAGTTCCCCAGATTTCTCTAAGAGCCAAACTCAACTGTATCTTCTGTTATCTGTTTGAATTCATAATTTCCTCTGCCATCCATACGCAGGTAGTACTATGGGAAAGAAGAAAAAAAATCAAAAACTAAGAATGGATAGAGTACTTTCCTCTATGAGAACTAACAGCCTTCCTCATTATTTTAAGGGGACCAAATCTATAAACATCCCACAAATCAGAATGCTTCTATAACTCCACAACCAAGAATCTGAGCTACCAGTAGGTTGACCTGTGCTAAGTACAAGACTGTTCAGTAGGGCAGTCTTTATTATTCTTTGAAGCTAATTTCCTAGATCAGGTCGGAATCTGTAACTTAACATTTTTTAGTTTGTTTTTTTGATTTAGCAGAGGGGAAAAAGAGCTAAACAGTATGCCTACATACCCTATCCTCTGAAGACACTTAGGGATAGGATAGCAGTTACAAAATCTTCTGATTTCCCATAGGCGCTTATTATTTACAGAAATATTTCTGTTTTCCCATTTTCTTTTCTTTTTTTTTTTTTTCCTTTTTGTCTTTTTTCGTGACCGGTAATGGGATCACAACCCTCAGTGTCGTGCCCGCACCGGGCTCAACCAGTGAGCAGACCGGTCTCTATATGGGATTCGAAACCTCGGCGGGAGCACTGCCGTGCTCCCAAGCACTGCACTCTACCGAGTGCGCCACCGGGCCGGCCCTCCCATTTTCTATACTGCTATTTCTTAGATATTCTGGCCCCTAACATTCCAATTCTTTGTGTCCCCTGCCTTCCCATATCAGTGGCTTGTGGTTATTCTGCTAATTGTTTATACCTCCAAAAGAAGAGGAAAGGTGAAACCCAAGTCATCTCTCTATCCTACGGCGATAATGTTTACGAACTTCTGAGAAATCACAACAGCTTGGGTATATTTTAAATTGTTTTGATTTCTAGTTGTTCGATTCATGAAAAATGAACAAATTATAATATGACATAGAATAATAAAACTATCTTTAAAAGTTACACAGCTATATAGAATTTCACTACATTTTATTAAGTACTTTCACATAGGCTACCTCTTTGATCCTCATGGTAATCTAAGAGATAGGTAAGCAAGGCTCAATAACTTTATTATACAGAAGGAGCAACTAAGGTTAGAAACAGTGCTGTCTAAACCCAGGCTTTCTAACTCCAAATTCCATGTTCTTCATTTTATCACTTGTAGACTATCAGCTAAACTGTAAGACTCTTCAGGGTAAAGACAGTAATCTGTATCCCTTGTGACAGCCCAGTACCTGGCAAAGAAGGTGCTTAATCAGGCATGAATTTTGTGGAAGAAGACCCCCTTTCTTTTTTTCCCTTTTTTCCCCCCCCCCCCCCCCGCCTTATTTTAACTATATCATTTAGGAAGGGAAAAAAAGAAAAAAAAAAAAGGGAAGAGAGGAAAAGGGGAGGGGGAGAAAAAGAAAATAAAATGAATTAAACTGGGTTTACTTTTAGGTTTTGAGCATTTTACCTTAAGAGTTGAAAAGAACTGTCATGGTGAGAATAGCACTGCTAGAGTCCCAGAATAAATAATACTTTTGTTCCAATGTAAACCTATCCTTATAAATTATAGTGACTACCTAATGAGTCCGATTTCATTACAGTGTAAAGATAAACATAGCTAATATTATTCAATTTTCCCCTTATAGTCCAGACCTCTACTGAAAATGACCCTAATTTTTTTGTTATCAAATTCTTGAGACTTCTTCCTCTTCTGTCAATACTGGAGGATAAGAAAAAATTCTCTAATACCTCTCTTTACAACTAGGGATTGTTTATATACACTGTAGCTTTCAAAACTAACAACTATAATAATATTTAGGAAAATCCTATTTTATTTTATAAAACTGAAATAGAATCATTTTTTTCCTTAAGACACATGCTTATAAGGGAATATTCACCATGAAATCTAAAACTATATTATTCTCCTGAATTCCCATATTTAAATAAAATAAACTTCCACTGTACCATTCAGTGGAAGAAATACAAACCTCGTGGTGTTTCCAAAGAGATTTTCTATGTGACACAGTGAAGAGGGTGATGCCGACCTAATACAAAGAAAATGATTTAGGTTTATATCAATAACAGAGCCACAAATTAAACTAGTCTGTATATTTTAACCTGTTAAGATGACTGTCTTCAGTGGCTACAGTTAAATACCAACGTCAAAGAGAAAAAATTACAAGGATGCTAAATGGTTATGGTAACGAAGAGTAACGGCCATCAATCACATAAAAAAACTAACAGGTACCAGCATTAAGTGTTTTGTTTTGGGCAGAAAATATATCTCCTAGCACATTTTCTATTTTATTGTGAAAAATATGAGGATGATAAAAATAGAAAAAGGTCAAAGCTAAGAAAAGTTAAATTAGTATAGCACTTTCTATCATCAACCTGCCTCTCCAATACAGGGTCATAATCCCTTATTGAGACTCTTGTCTTGTCTTGGAATTCACATTTTGTAAACTATTATTTGACACCCCAAAAAGGTTCTGGGATGGAATTCTGTAATTAAACACATGAAAGGTTCTGCAGCAACACATACAGACACTGGCATTGAGACAGAGTTTAAATATCTTTTGTTAGTTCAGGCCAGGTTTTGCTTCAAAATTAAGAAAAAATATTTGGTTTAAGAGCTTTCTGGATTGCAGATTGCAAATAAGGATTTCTAGGTCTATACTTGAGATTTTCAGAAAAGTTCTATTATCTTCTGAATCAGGGGTTCTCAAACGGGGGCAGGGGGATTTTGTCCCTCAGAGAACGCTTGGCCATGTCCAGAGACATTCTTTGTTGTCTAAACTGAAAGCGCAACTGACATCTGATGGGTAGAGGCCAGAGTAACTGCTAAACATCCTACAATGCACGGGAGAGTTCTCTCTACCCGCCATCCAACTAAGAATTAAGAATTATCTAGCCAAAATGTCAATAGTGCTGATGTTGACAAATCTTGCTATAGACAGATCACTGTTTCTCAAAATGGATCTCTCAAGGCTGACAGATACATGCTTAGGGTATCTAGAAAACTTCCATCATGATTTCTAAATTTTATTTTCATTTTGATGATAATTATTAAAGAATTAGCATAAGCATATTCTGGATCATTTCTGCCATGAGATTCAAGTGCCCAAATTTGTGCTTACAATTCTGCTGGCACCACATGATATCACTCAAACTTTTATTTTTATTTTAACTTTTTTACAAATTTATTTATTTATTTTTTAATAGTATTTATTATAAGCATATTATTATTACAAATCATGATTTCTCTTTATGCCCTTTACCCAACCTATCCCTCCCCAAACCTTCTCAAACTTTTAATGTGTCATAAATTTGGCTGGTTCTGGAAAGGTTCTCAATTTAATTAAGAATTGCATGATAAAATAAGTACAAAGGTAATTCAAAAAGTTCATGGAAAGAGAGAATTGAAAGATAATGCAAATTTTTCCATGAACTTTTTGCAGTACTCTCGTGTATTATCAGTATTGATAAAAGATACAGTTGAACCGTACCTCACATAATGTACGTATTAATGCAGACATTAGAACACAAAATAAAAAAAAAAAATTCAAAATATAAGATCTGGGCCTCAGATAGTATCTTTCCATAATTAAATCTCAAACAGTATCAGCAAAACAGTATCACAGGACTTTTTAAGGCTTTCGATTCAAAATTGTATATAAATTTTGTCTGTGCTTAATTTGTAAATTTATATTGATTTTGTAGCCATAAAAAAGCTCTAAGCATATGTTTAAGTGTTATTACAGCAATAGAATTTAAGTTATCACAAGGGCCCCATATAAATTTTCTTCCTTTAAATGGAAACTATGTTTTATAAAATTTATAGAATCTATGTGGAGACCTATAGCCTATAGCTTTAGAGCATCTGAGGAAACTGCATGGACAAAACTACCAGAAAAAAGCCTCTAAATCATTAATTAAGTATAGACCACATGATTTTAAATATAAGAGAATACCACAAACATCTCTTATACCTATAAATCTGAAAATCAATGTGGACAAACACATAAATAAATTATAAATTATCAAAACTGACTCAAGAATAGAAAATAGACCATTAAAGAAATAAAATCAGTAGTGAAAAATCTTCCAAAGATGAATGCAGCAACTTTATTCTTTCATCATTACACCCGTGCTTCTCAAACTTTAATGTGCATTTGAATCACCTAGGAATTTTGTTAAAATGCAGATTCTGACCTGGCAGGGCTTGCGATTATGCATTTCTAACAAACCCCAGGTGATGTTGATGCTACTGATCTGTGACCACACTCTAAGCAGTAGGAATTCATACTATCTATATGCAAGATGATCTTTTTCTACCTATTGTAAACTTCCAAAGAACAGGTTCAAAATGTTAAAATACTCCCATACCTCATTTACTTACACAGAAACTGTATACGGCTAGGATATGCTAGTGTTCTCAAAATCTCACAACAGTATAGATAGTGGTAACAATTCCTCAAAGATAAAAACAGCTGAGACTGTTAAATGATTACTTAAAGAATGGAGCCAATGGAGACAGCCTCACATTTGGGTACTAAAAAAAGTTTTGGTAAAATATTGCCCAGGCCAGAGAATAAAACGGTTAAATAAAAAATTGCCAAGTGATTATCGTCGAGTTTTCTTGATAAAAAAACAAATAATGCTTAAGTAACGTTACTGGAACAAATTAGAAAAAACCAGTTTATTAACTCTGAGTACAAGTGATGAGGTAAAAGGGAAATAGATTTAAATCTATTATTTGTTTCAGACCCAAGAATAGCTAAAGAGAATTATATACAGAACGCATTTACAATTCCTTTTCTTTTACTCATTATCCATTAATTATCATTCTTAAAATCTTTATTAAAGCTAGGTATCATCATTTGATTGTAATTTTGTTACTTAATGACACAATCTTCTCTGGTCACACTTGTTGGACACAGGGTAAACTAGGAAAGGGGACACAGACCTTCAGACCGAGAACCTGTCACACTTACCTTTCGACAATGACTGTAAATATAGCCTTCCACATCCACACTAACCGCACTAGTGCATTCATCCAAAATGGCAAACTGGGGTTTATGATAAAATAATCTTGCCATCTGAAGCATAAAAAGAAATATTTTGTGTAAGCACATGCAGACCTAAAATTAATAAGCTAAGATAAACTTACTTTAAAATAAACATGCATTTGCAGTCTCGTAAAACAAAGTGTAAAAATTATCTTAAATCAAAAACTCTACTTCCCAGAAATAGAAACGATACAAATAAAACTAATTGTTTTTATTGTCATCTTAAAGAGGAAAATGTAATACGTAGAAAATATTTACTGCTCAGACTAAATCAAAAGCTTTAAGACTGACATGAGATGAAGTTGAGTTTTAAACTAGTATCAAATAAAGTTCACTAAACAAACAAGATTAGAGGGTACCTATGTTAACTAAGTCTTGGAATTCAGACTAAAACATTTTGTTGCTTAAGTAATGGAACCAATTAATCTTGCAACCAATTATTTTTTAGTGCACCTGTTTCATATCCCTGGTGTCAATACTGGGAGTCCTCATTTTTTAAAGCCTTTGCCACTTTTGTAAATCAAAATTAACATCAAGATTATTATAGCTTACCTCTGATTATCAGGAATGCTGAACATTTTCCCATATTTATTTTACACACGTATTTTATTTTCTGGGAACTGTTTATTCTGATCTTTTGTCTAACAGATATTCCAATTTGTCACCTGACCTCAACAATGATCTCCATGTTGCAAGACCAATGGACACTTTTCTGTCCTTACCCAATTTATCTTCTCTGCAGCATTCTACTCAGATGACCACTCTTTCCTTTGTGAGACAGTGACAGCGAAACCATGCTTCCTCCTACTTCTTAGGGTCCTTTCTCAGTTTCTCTTCCAGCACTTTCTCTTCCACTCGACCATTAAATACGGGAACTCCTCAGGGCTGATTCCTAGGTTCCCTCTCTTTTGCTGTACTGTACCTCTCAGAGTGATCTCATCCAATCTTATGCCTTCAAACACTTATTTACAGTCTGTAAACTCCCAATATATCTCTTACCCATACTTTTCTAATTTCCACATTGATATATAAAAATTCCTATTTGACCTTTTATTTGGATATTTCATGGGACTCTCAGACTTTAAAAGTCTAGAACTCAAGTGCATTTTCCACATTTTCCCCCTAAAATCTATTTTTCTCCTAATCTTGAACTGTTTCAGAAGATAACACTATCCAACAGCTGCTTAAGCTAGCAAGCCAGGAGTCCTCCTTGATCCTTCCCTTCTCCTCATCGCCGTCATTCCCCCACCCCCATTTTTAGTCCATTCGAGTAAGTCCTGTGGAGTTTAAAGTCCAGTCACTTTCCTCATTCTCCACAAGCATGACCTCAGCCCGAGCACACTCCTCTCCTGCCTGGATGACTACAAATAGCCTTCTTCTTCCTCTTCTGTTTCTCTCCGATCCACTCTTTATGCAGCCAGAGAGAATCTTTCAGAAATGTAAACCAGAGAACTTCACTCTTTTGCTTAAAACCCCTCAACAACTTCCCATTTCACTTAAAATAAATTCAAGCTCCTTACACGGCCTACAAGTCCCTGCGCAATCTTATTCCTACTCATGCTCTAACCTCAACTCTCCAGCCAACGTCACCTCAACTGCGAGGAACAAGGTGTCTTGAACCTTAGAGGATTAGCACGTCATTCTTTCCTTATATCTCAAATGCCTTACTCTGCTCCTTGTATCTTTCAAATTTCTGCTTAATGTCACCTTCTCAGACAAACCTATCCTGGCCTCTACCCCCCAATCCAAGAGGGTCCCTTCTGTGACATTTCTGCAGCACTTCATGTATCCTGAATTGTATATTTGCCTTTCTCTGTCTGCCACCCAGGCTGTAAGATTCCCAAGAGCAGAGACTGTTTTAATCACTACTGTGTACCCAACATTTATATATGGATAATGCTCAAATGTTGGATAAATGAATGACTAAAACAAATAAACAGCTTTCTTGGGGTTTACATCTATTTGTATGAGGTGAGGAAGGGGAAGCAGTTAGTGGAGATGACCAGGAAGTTCAACTGTGCAGGACATGAAAGGTACAGACCACAGGAGACCTCTGGTTAAGGCAGAGTTTACTTTCTAGATCAGAGATCTGGAAATGTCTTTCTGAAAGAGAAGGACTAGAAGAGATAAATATAGGTGTGGGGTAGAGGAAGGTGAGTAAGTGAAGGAAAGGGAAATGATAAAGTCAGAGGGGTGAGGGTGCATAAAACACAGATGGAGACTTTAGTCTTTCTCAAGAGGAGGAGGATGTGTCCTCCACGGCAAGGTTAATGATGAGCAGTGGTTATCTGAAGGCATTCCACAAATGCCTGTCCTCTGAGCCTCCACAGGACTCTCTACATACCTTTATCATTATTTTTTCTGAGTTTCCATTGCGTCCATTTGTGAATCTTATACTTCCACTTTCTTTGAAGTCACAGTATAGGAATTTAATTTTTTTTTCTAGACTTGCAGTTATTTCTATAGTCATCTTTTTTTTTTTTTTTCCTTTTTGTCTTTTTTACTGACCAGCAACGGATCGCAACCCTCAGTGTCACGCCCATACCGGACTGGGACCGGCAACGGGATTGCAACCCTCGGTGTTGCTCCCGCACCTCGCTCAGCCAGTGAATGGCCGGTCTGTATGTGGGATCCGAACCCTCGGCGGGAGCACTGCCACGCTCCCAGGTGGCGCACTGTAGCAGTGCGCCACCGGGCCGGCCCTCTATAGTCATCTTCTAAATTGACTCTAGAAATGCCCAGTGGTTTCAAATTCTCACTCTTTCAGCCCAATTTCCATTTTCAGTATAGCTAGTATCTCTATCTCATGTTATAGCACCAGCCAGGCAAATCACAATATTAGGTTGATATTAAGTTCAAATAGAGTGGCTATGATTTTGGGACAAACAACCTGCAAAATCAGGGAATAGGAGGCAACAAAAAGGTAGAATATAAACTGAAGATAATGAGTAAGAAATTCCATTATCACCATCTCTTTTGCTCTCTTCCCTTGGCTACAGTTTTCTCTAATTTCCATAAAGCTAAGACTCAGGAGGAAAAAAATCCTTTGGATCTACTCAAACTATGGTACGTATACTTACAAAATGACTCTTTATAAGTTACCTCTCTTAACAGGGTACCCAAAATATTATTCTTAATAATGTAGAGTTTAGTACACGTTTTTGGTTTGGGATAAGTTCAGTCATCATAAAAATTAAAATACAGTTGGCCCTTGAACAACTCAAGGGTTAGGGGCACCAACCCCCCGCCCCAATCCAAAATCCCCATAACTTATGACTATTCAAAAACTTAAGTACTAATAAATAGTGTACTCTTAACCAGAAACCTTCCCAATAATATAAATGTCGATTTACATGCATTTTGTATGTTGTATGTATTATATACTGTATTCTTAGATATATAAAAGACCATTGCAAAAAAAGGAAAAGAAATCTGTGGAGCTGCTGAGCAGCAACAAGAGCCACACGAATTTTTCCTTTTTTTTTTTTTTTTACAATGGTCCTTGCACTGGATTCATTTATCTTGAAATGGCAGGCAACTGCAGCTGCAGACCTCATTCTATGCTACAGATCAAATGATTCAGCTTTTCATTGTAATGGCATAACTTTTCTCTGCTTCTTGGGAGCACTTCCAGCATTACCACTGGCACTCTGTACAGGTCCCTTGGTGTTATTCAAGATTTGCAGTATTGCACTAAACACGATGAAAAATACGCGAGAACCACAAGACACTTTTTAGTGCAATACACAATTTACTGGAGAGACAAAGTGCTCACTCAAAGATGGCTAGCTTCACGTAGCATTTTAAGCAGATACTTGAGCTCACCACAATACCAACAGGAGGTGGCCACAAAATTAATACAGTACTACAGTATGTACTACAGTTAATTTTATGCAGTTGTGATTTAATACTGCATCTTTACATTTGTTTACATTTCTCTCGACTGCAAATGACACCATGTACAGTCTATAAAAGTGCGTATGTAAGTTTTGATAAATTTTAACTTTTTACAGTAGATTTGTGTATATTTTATGGTAGTGCATGTAAAATAGACTAATATCTACATATATTTTATGCATTCATGACACACCTAACTTTAAAAAAATGTTTTTTTGATATTTCTAGGCTATATGGTTCATCTGAGTTTTTACAAGTTGTCGCATATCTACAAAAAATGTTCCAATATATTTTACTAAAAAAAACCCGTGTATAAGTGAACCCACCCAGTTCAAACCCATGTTGTTTAAGGGTCAACTACACTTCAAGTGCTTCTTTGTATTAAGAAAATTTAAAAATTCTAAATAACTTTATGTAGTACATACCGAGCTTTGAAACAAAGATAAATATACTAGGGGAAGGAAAGGGCAAGAACAGAATAATTAATAAAATGACAATAAAATTATACTTGATCATCGCTAATACCTTCAGCTATTTCAGGGAGAAATAGCCTAAGTGAGACAAAAGAGATATCTACATGGAAAAGATACTGAAAGAAATTTCATAACCTAACCAGAATCACTATACATGTTAGGACCAATGTGCTACAAAGTTTCCCCCAACTTTTATAAAAATGAATTACTGGTAGATAACTGGATCTGCAGCTATCCTTTCACAGATATTGGCAGTGTATGAGTTTTTCACAATTCCAAATTTACATGCAATTTAAACATTTGCAAGCATGTTTATATTTAAACTAGTCAAAATAGTAACAATTGCTAAATAAAAAGACAAAAGATAAAATAAAACTAAGTGTTTTGAGTAATCAAAATGCCAGACTCCAAGAGTGACTTTATGCAACCAGTTGGATTTTTATGCAATGTCTTCAGAGTACACTTACCGCCATTCTTTGTTTTTCTCCACCACTGAGTACATCCATCCAGTCCTGAACACTGTCCCAGCCTCCTTCCCGTTCAAGGATATGACCCAACTGGACATTGTCTAAGTATTCCTTCAGTACCTTTCAGAAAAATGATTGAAGATGAAATCAAACTTAATAAAAATCAGCAGTCTCTATCTTGCTTTATTTTTAAACAAGAATCACCGTAATTCCATTGCCAGTACCACTTGAAGTACATGTCCAGAAAAGAATGCGGCACAAAGGTAGCCCTGAACTTTCCAACTCCTGTCTATACTAATCTTGACAAAATATGTCTAGTAACTTAAAGAGAATAACACTATTGTGCATAATTAAAGGATGAGAGCAATAAGAAAACAAACAATAGTGTAAAGATAAACACTCAACCAGTCATATTTAAGCAAAGTGGTTATTATCTTCTCTCAACTTGGAAAGTTGTAATAATGGTTTTGAGAGGCTTTACAAGTTAGGATAAACTACTTGGCATTTAAAATATTAGCTGACAAAGAAGCATTTTCAGTAGATCTAGGATATAAAAATTCCCTTACTAGGTCAGATATCCCCTTCTTTTTCTGATCTTCTCTTCCATCTGGATATATTACTTGGTCTCGAAGTGTTCCAAGGGTCATATAAGGTCTCTGACAGTAGTAAAGCAGAAGTCATTAGAAGTGGATTTTTAAAAAATAAATAAAGGGCTGGCTGGTTAGCTCAGTTGGTTAGAACTCAGTGTTATACACCAAGGTCAAGGGTTTGGATCCCTGTACCAGCCAGCCACCAATCTATTAATCAATCAATCAAGCTAGCCGCACACCAATACATAGAAAGATTAATAAATGAATAAAAAAGGCAGGCCAGTTATCTCAGTTGGTTAGAGCATGGTGTTACAACACAAAAATCAAGGGTTTGTATCCCCATACTGGCCAGCCACCCCCCCAAAAAAAAACTTAACCATCTAGTATTCTTCGGAGACCCACTCTGTGTCAGGCCCTATGCATAATAGTGGGCTCTTTGGGGAGGGTTTAGAGGTAGACCTTACCAGCCAGCCACCATAAATAAGTAAGTAAGTAAATAAATAAATAAATAAATAATCTTTAAACCGAAGATTACAAAATAACTCAAGGTATTACCTGAGGAACATAAAATAACTTTCCTCTCTCAGGTTTGGTTAGATGTCCTCCAAAAAGAGGCCATAACTGTAAAAGAAAAAGGAGGGAGGAGAGAAGGCAGTTATGAAATGCACAATGTGGTAGACAGTATGGCAAAATAAGACTGCAAAATTCTCAGGCCAATTTGTGCTTACTTCACCAAGAACACGGAAAAGTGAACTCTTTCCACAGCCATTTGGACCACAAACTAGAACGTTGGCCCCAGATCGAACCTGAAAGAAAAGCAGTGTATGAATTAATTAGATTGAGTGAATATATACTCAGTGAACATTTCCTTAGAGTTAAATAGCTCTTTGATAATTATAAGCGTTCTATTTTGTCTGTAAATGTGATAACAGGTAGAGAAATAGAGCGGCATGGTGAAGGGATATTTTATTTCTGTGTACTTTCAACTTTTCCTCAGTTATATTTATTTCATTTAATAATCATTATTGATATTATAATCTTAATCTCACAGTTGGAATACAAAGAGCTAAAGCTTAAAAAAATCAGAGACTCCTTGAAAATAATGTGTGTATGCACAAGTCTTTTTTAAAAAAAGGAATTGTAGTATATAGACTATTCCACATCTTGCTTTTATTACTGAACAATATATCACAGGGCTGGCCGGTTAGCTAACTTGGTTAGGGTGTGGTGCCGCACACTAGAGGTCAAGGGTTCAGATCCCCTTATGGGCTAGCCACCCAAAAAAACCAAAACCAAAACCAAAAAAACCCAATATATCATATATCACAGATATCCTTCCAGGTTAGGATATTCAGACGTCCCCCTTTCATTTAATGCCTTCAATATATTCCATAGTAAGGATGCGCCATAATTTATTTAAACACTCCCTTTTGGTTAAACATTTAGATCATCTGCATTTCTTTTCTTTTGCTGTTTTAGATAATACTACAATAGACTTCCAAGTCAGCAAGTAAACTTGTGTACTAGTGAGAAATGTTTCTATAAATTAGATTCTTAGAAATCAGAAGTGATGGATCAAAGTATACTTGAATTATAAGTATTTTCATTGCTTATGAATATTCATGAGATACAAAGTTGATTGTCACCCCTTGTGCCCATGATGTGAGGGCCAGATTCATATTGGCAGCATACCCATTGCCACAAATTGTATTTGTACCCCGTGTCCTCCACCCAATTATCCCCAACCTCCCTCTCCTGCATTATAAATATTTTAAAGTGCCACTAAATTGTTCTTCAACAACATAAAGAAAAATGAGAAAATATACAGTGGTAAAGTTCGAAGCTTATGTTTTTTTTTTTTCCTTTTTGTCGTTTTTCGTGACCGGCCACGGATCGCAACCCTCAGTGTTGCGCCCGTACCGGACCGGGACCGGCTACGGGATCGCAACCCTCGGCGTTGCTCCCGCACCTCGCTCACTGGCTGAGCGGCCGGTCCGTATGTGGGATCTGAACCCCCGGCGGGAGCGCCGCCGCGCTTCCCAAGCGGCGCACTGTAGCAGTGCGCCACCGGGCTGGCCCAAGCTTATGTTTTTTTAAGTGTCTAATCAGCTCTATAAAGAATCGGAAAACCTGAATTCTAATTCTACTTTACAACATTAATGTAGCGCGGCAGAAGACACCAGAGAGATGAGTTGCCCTAGCTGTGTGACCTGCCTTTGACAAACTTTTAAACCTGGTTAGCCTTAGATTTCTATTATTTAGTTCAATGAATATTTATTGAATGCTCAGTGTCAGGCTGTGGTCTAGGCAATGAGGCTACATTAGTGAATAAAAGAAACAAACAAACAAACAAAATCCCTGCCCTTACCAGTTTACATTCTAATGAGAAGAGACATACAAAAAAGAATATGCATAATAAATAAGCAAATTAAACACTATGTTAGAAAATAAGTGCTATGGAGAAAAAACAGATCAGGATAAGGACATTTGGGAGTGGGGGGGGTTGTATTTTTAAGGTGGTCAAAGTAGACCTCACTGAAAATGACAACTGGGCAAAACTTTAAAAGAAGGAATGAATGAGGAGTTTAGCTGCAGGAAGACTGTTCCAGCCCCACCTTTCCCCACAAAAACTGGTGCAAAGGCACTGAAGCAGGAATGTATCTGTCCTATTCAGAAACTAGAAAGGAGGCTGACTTGGCTGGAGAAAAACAAGCAGGAGAAAAGAGTATTATTAAATGGGATCAGAGAGGTAAGAAGTAGAAGTAGGATAGCAGGAGGCAAATCCTACAGGGTACTGTAAGCCATTGAAAGGACTTTGCTTCTACTGTGATGAAATGGAGAGCCATCAGCATCATTCACGATAGCCAAAAGGTATGAGCAACCGCGGCAGATAATCAGATAAACAAAAGGTGGTGTGAACAGTATTCAACCTTGAAATGGAGCAAAATTCTGATACATGCTACTACACATACAAATCCTGAAAACATGCTAAGTGAAATAAGCTAGACCCAAAAGGACATATATTGTATGATTCCACTTATATGAGGGATCATGAATAGTCAAATTCACAGAGACAGGAAGTAGAATAAAGGTTACCAAGGGCTGGGCAGGGGTGGGGGAAGGTGTTACTGTTTAATGGGTACAGAGTTTCTATTTGGGATGATGAAAAGGTTCTGTAAATGAACAGTGGCAATGGCTGTGTAACATTGTAAATGTACTTAATGCCACTAAATTGTACACTTAGAAAAGGTAAATTTTGGCTGGCCCCGTGGCTCACTCGGGAGAGTGCAGTGCTGGTAGCGCTGAGGCCACGGGTTCGGATCCTATATAGGGGTGGCCGGTGCCCTCACTGGCTGAGCGTGGGGCAGACGACACTGAGCCGAGGGTTCCGATCCCCTTACCGTTAAAAAAAAAAAAAAGAAAGAAAGAAAGAAATGGTAAATTTTATGTTATGTATATTTACCAAAATTAGAAATAAAATTTTTAAAAAGAATGAGCCTTCAAAGGAAGGTTGAGAATTACTAGTCTACCATACTTGGTCTATAATAAAACATCACAATTTATGTACATCACTGTTAGAGAATGAGCTATTCTAAATGACTTCCAGATAAACTGCCCCTTTTTGTGAAAAACATAAAAGAATCATTTTGATGGACTTCTAAATAACTTGGTATTTCTTTATTCTATAAAATTGAATATACTGAATATATGCAAGGTTAATAACTGTATTCTTACTATAATAGGGTAGAAGCTCCTAAAATTCACAGACCTATTAATTAAATGTTCCCTATTCTTTATTTGAGTAATGTCAACCATATATATATATATAATGAGGCGTATATAATACACCTCTAACTGCTCATTGTTGTTTACTCTGGTATCAATATTCCTACCTCCAATACCCCTCCACACTACTTGCAATACACCAGTAAACTCAAAAACCAAGTTTGCAATGATGTATATAAATAATATCTAATGAGTTCAGTAAATCTAGTTATTCTCTTATGCTCAAATGTGTTAGGCTCAGCATTAACTTTTCTTTACTCCATGGCTTTTGGCAGTGTTGGACAAAAACTTCCAAGTAGGACATCGGCCATGGTAAGCCAGTGAGAATTTTTCCATATTAAAGATTTATAAACACATATTTTGGGGAAACTGAACTAAGACTAAAAGTCAAAGGTAACATTTACAGAAAATTAGGTTCTTAAAATCTTAGATTGCTTTACTGGGTCAACAAATGCTTTAAACCACCACATTTTTACCAATAAAAATCTTCCCCCAAAAGAACAGTCCTTAATAAATCCTACTTCCTACAAGTTTACCATAATAAGTTATCAAAAAATTCTACACATAAAAAACAATTTAAGTAAAATAGTGATCATATAAAATTATGTTGTTCATGAAAATTTATTGGCTTCTTTACACACTGTAAATATGTCTTACTGAAAAAGGTAAAAACTGTGAATAAGTTACAAAGTATTACTTTATTCTCCACATTATAATCTATAAATTGTTATCTCTTAAGGTCTCTCCAGTCTATACACCTCACAGAAGAATATCTAAATAGATAAATATGCCCGTGCTGAGAAGTTTATAAAGGAAAAAAGCTTATATTATTCGATCCAAAAGACAAATGGATCATAAAGTAGGAAACATTTATTTTTGATGTAGCGTCTCAGTTTTATCATGCCTCTTTCCAAGAGAAAGGAATCTTTATTTTAAAGTGAGACTGATCAGTAGAAAATAATCAGAGGTTACAAAGAACTAAAGGACGACTGCCGAATGAAGAAAGGCTATGCTAAGAAAAATGATGGGAAGAGAGAATGAATGAGAAAAAAGCCAAGTATAATTTAGAATACCTTAAGTCAAAAAGAGAGAAAAAGAATTTATAACAGTGGACCAAAGGGACAGAAAAAACAAGAATCACAGGATAAACACCAGGTGGTAAGGAACATGGTTACCAAGTAAAAAACTTGAACAAGAGGGGCATAACTAAGGACTCAAACGAGACTTTTCTAAATGAAAACAAAATAAAAGAAAAAAAGTGAGAGCCCTTTCAAAACTATAAAAGTGAAGTTATAGGAAATGACCAGAAGTATATTAAATCCAAACATAAGGGCTTTAAAAGGATGTGCTCTGGACTAAAAGCAAAGTGACAGCTTTAGCATAGTACCTTATGCCAAAGTAATATTAAGGACTATAACCATGATCTACTACTCTGTATATCTATACATACAGATCCCAAATCCTTTCTTAGTACTGGAAATCTTACTAAAGATAGGGTTCTGAGCTCTTTTTTTAAATCTCTGAAATCAAGCCTGGTGGGTGACTACCTACTTTGCAAAGGGAGCACTAAAGTGACTAGAGTACCTAAAGCTCAGTGAGAAACACTTCTGTGACACCTGGAGCCATTCAATATTTACCAACTGTATATACATGTTCTGTACTTGCTCATGTGTTTCCTGATTTTAAAATAAACATGATGATTCAATGCTCATTGTTGAATAAGTTCAAAGTACTTTGCATAACTAATATTTTTCATTTTTGTATTTCCTTGAGAAGAAAGTAGAGATGTAGTTAATATAAATTATTAAAGCAGAAAAATTGAAGACTTACCTAATATTGTAACAATTTAAAAACAAATCCAATAATTATACTCCTTATTTTATAAACTATCAGACAACATTCCTTCAATGAAAGCAGCTGAAAAAAATCCCCACATAAAACACGTATTATAGAAGGTCATATATATAAGCATGTAGAGGAATTCTAGAGCTGTGCTATCCCAATACAGTAGCCACTAGTCACAAGTGGCTATTTAATTTAAAATCAAATTAATTAAAGCTAAATAAAACTTTAAATTCAGTTCCTCAGCTGTACTAGTCACATTGCAAGTGCCAAATCCACATGTGGCTACTGCATTGGACAGGGCAGACACAGAATACTTCCACCATCACAGGAAGTTCCACTGGACAATACTGTCCTAGTGAAATGGTATCTGGAACTGGGGAGACAGTCTACATGCCAGGCATTTGTTACTAATCTTCAAGATAGCCAGATCTGAACTATTCATAAAGTCAAACAGTACCCCTTAGATTCGTTAGAGTCTTACAAATCATATAAAACCACTCATCATTTGTCTTTTCTTTTTAATTTGGCTGTCATATTCCCATTTTGATAATAGGCTATAGTGAATCAGCATCACTACTCACTTGACATAAAATTTTACTTGTTCTGGATGAGTGGCTATTTGTAGTGCTATTGTGCTGCTCTTCCACTGTTTTCATGAATGTTAAGTCTTTGTTTTGTTTTCATAGGTATAAATCCTCCTCTACAGTCAATACAATACCAAACTGTTTTTTTTTATTTAAAGATATTAAAATTACATTTTCATGTTTAAATATTCATTCTACACTGGAGATTCCAATTAACTATATCTTCTATGACTTTCTTGACATGGATTCACAAATATTTGCAAAGATTTTTTATAGCAGTATTTGAATTTTTTAAGTTCTTTCAAGTAAGAAAAATAGGTTTCTGTTTCAAAGACTTACTTTTTAAAGCAATTCTGTGGATTCAGAGACTAACTCAAGCTTTAAAATTACTTTAAATGTTCACACAATATTTTTTCAGTTCACATTTTGAAGATGATTTAAGCTTTTATACGATCATTTAAAAACTTACTTCAAAACTAAGGTCTTGGATCAAGACATCTCCATTTGGCGTAGCTAAAGGAACATGATCAAACCTACAGAGGAAATAAATTTAAAAAAGGATAATTAAAATATATATAAGGAACTCATACAACTCAAGAAAAATACAAATAACCCAATTAAAAAATGGGCAAGGGTCCTAAATAGAAACTTCTTAAAAGAAGAAATTCAGATGGCCAACAGGCATATGAAAAAGTGCTCAACGTCTCTAATCATCTAGGAAATGCAAATCAAAACCACAGTGAGATATCACTTCACACCGGTTGGGATGGCTATTATCAAAAAGACAAAAGATAAGTGTTGGCAAAGGTGTGAAGAACAGGGAACCCCTGTACCTTGTTGGTGGGAATGTAAATTATTATGGAAAACAGTACTGAGGTTCCTCAAAATTTTTAAAATAGAACTATGATATGATCCAGCAATCCCACTTCTGGGTATATATGCAAAGGAAATAAAATTAGTACCTCAAGGAGATATCTACACTACCCTGTTCACTGCATCATTACTCTCAATAATCAAGATATGGAAACTACCTGAATGTCCTTCAACTGATGAAAATGATAAAAAAAATTATAGTGTGTGCATAGACATGTATATACACACACACGCATATGTATATTCACAGAGTGAAGCATCATTCGTCCTTACAATAGAAGGAAATGAGAAGGAACTGCTATTTTCGACAACATGAATAGAGCTGGAGAATATGCTAAATGAAATAAGCAAGATACAGAAAGAGAAACACTGTATGATCTTACTTGTATGTGATCTAAACGATATGATCCAGCAATCCCACTTCTGGGTATATATGCAAAGGAAATAAAATTAGTATCTCAAGGAGATATCTACACTACCCTGTTCACTGCATCATTACTCTCAATAATCAAGATATGGAAACTACCTGAATGTCCTTCAACTGATGAAAATGATAAAAAAAATTATAGTGTGTGCATAGGCATGTATATACACACACACACGCATATGTATATTCACACAGTGAAGCATCATTCGTCCTTACAATAGAAGGAAATGAGAAGGAACTGCTATTTTCGACAACATGAATAGAGCTGGAGAATATGCTGAATGAAATAAGCAAGATACAGAAAGAGAAACACTGTATGATCTTACTTGTATGTGATCTAAAATTGTCAAGAAGCAGAGAGTAGGATGGTGGTTGCCAGCGGTAAGGGAGAGGAAGAAATGAGGTGACGTTGTTCAAAGGATACGTTTCGGTTACACAAGATAAGTTCTGGAGAACTAATATACAGCATGGGGACAATAGTTAAAAACACTGTCCTTTATCCTTGAAATTTGCTAAGATAGATCTTAAGTTCTCACCATACACACAAGAATGGTAACTGTAGAGGTCACAGATAAGCTAATTAGCTGGAATGTGGTGATTATTTCACATTGCATACTTGCATCAAAACAGTAAGCAGAACATCTTAAATATATACAATTTTTATGTCAATATTTTAAAGCTATCATTAAAAAGGTCATTTTTAAATTAAACACTAAGCAACTGTAAGCTGAAAGAGAAAGGCTACTATGAAGTTAAGCAGAACATCTTAAATATATACAATTTTTATGTCAATATTTTAAAGCTATCATTAAAAAGAAGGTCATTTTTAAATTAAACACTAAGCAACTGTAAGCTGAAAGAGAAAGGCTACTATGAAGTTTAACAAATATTTATAGTGTTAAAAACGTTTACAGGTACATACTTTATAATGTTATCTGCATTGATGATTTCTCCAGCACCAGGTATTAAGGGAATGATTTGTGCTCCTTCAATTCCTTAAATGGAAAATAAGTATTGAAGCATCATATTATGTCAGCAAAAACTTAAAATTTTGACGGCAAACTGTGACATTCATATTTACCCCTTTCCTGTTGTGAAACCATTGTGCGTTCATATTTGCCGTGATTTAAATCCTTTAATACTTGCATTAATTCTGTAATCCGAGCAGTAAAACTAAAATTTTTAAAAAAGGAAACCATAATCAAAACTCCTGACTGTTGTTATATCTTTTATTTTATACAAACTTAACTGAAGTTTCTAAAATTATAATTTAGTTTAAATGAAATAACCTAAAAGAAGTCTCGTCAACCTGAAGTATTAATGATAGTATGCATGTTTTATTATGTTTGGATAGGAATGCAGAAACATGGGGATAAGGAAAGAGGTTTCATGGGACCTCTATCTCAACAGATACTTCATTAATAGGCAAGTCAAGATGGCTGTTTGCTGCCAGGATTTTAAGAAAGTTTCTCATGGATACTACAAAAGGACTACTGCTGGTGCATTCTTAGACCCAGAAGTAGGAACCCTGATTTGCTGCTGGAGTGTATAAAGTTGGCCTTGAACTGTAAAGATATGAGAAAAGTTATTAACAAGTAAGAAGAATGTTAGCATTCTCAAGAGAAAGAGACTACTCGTAGTTTACAACTTCTAGCTTGCCATGAAGACCTTAAGTGCCCCAGGAAGAAAGAAAAAGGAATAAAGAGGAAGAAATATGAAGATGGATCACAGGACTAGGAAAGATCTTAAGTTATCAAATTTCTTCAGGTAACCTAAAATTTATCATGCTTTTTATTTTATGGTGTTTTTTACACCACACTGTGCCCTTTATATTAGAACTTGAAATATTGAAATATTTAGTTCTGTTCTATGGTCTAAGAACAATTTTACTACTAAACAATATGACCATATTTACAATTGCACCTGCAGATACCATAAGTTAACTTTTCATTTTTTCCATTAAAATTAACTTCACTTTTGTTTATCTGTTTTGCTAGGTTGCCAGTATCAAAGTTCTAACAATAAGAATATATGATGGGGCACAAAAAAGTTCAAATGAGAAAATTCTACTCATTAACTTAATTTTCTGTGAATTAAGAAGACTGCTATGATTCAACATTTCCCAACTTATCAAATACCAGTGTTCATAGAGTAAAACTGCTTGAGAACCACTAATCTAGTGTAAGGCTCAAAACAGCTGTCTTCAGGAAACAAGAAAAGTTCACTGTCAGAGAGCAAGTTTCCTTAATTTTCTATCAAAACCAGCTTCCTGGAGTAGGAAATGTCAACTGGGCACAATCATGAAGGATAACATATTTTTAAAAATTGTTCTCTGCAACCGCTCATTATTATTAATCTTACCCAGCCAATCTAGTCATTTCGCGCCCAGCCAAAACTATTCGACCCAGAGCTTGAGACATTCGCAAAAGCATTCTTCCACTTTGGTAGTAGTCCTTAAATAGAAATGAATATTAGTTTGTGCTTAAATTTCTAAGATTAAAAACTAGGTCTTCTTTATTTTTAAACTTTCACTTTATCATTCCTTTACCTCCAGCAGTTCTGAATGTGTACTCTTGAGATGTCGAGGATGAGACAAATCTAGGAAAGGACGACTGACAACCAGGTAACCAACTACAGTTGCAAGATCTGAAACAAACAGTTAAGGCTGAAAATGTTAGCAATGTTTCACTTTTTCCACATATGGCATTGAGCCATCAATTTTAAAACATACTTACATTTGGCAATTATGCTATCAATGAAGCCCATAGAGAACCGAAACAAAATGAAATTATGTAGATGCTCCACCTGGAAGAAAACAAAAACAAAAAATGTATACTTTTCTACATATAAAAAAATGAATCTACTGTGAGAATAAAACAAATTATATAATGCATTTATTTAACAAATATTTACAGAATGCTTATGATTGCTGATTATACTGCATATCACACCTCATTGAGCACAATGATAATCACACAGCAGGTGCCAAACATTTCATGAAATCACTTTTATGCAAACAGAATGGAAACTACATGAACAATTTTAACAATGTTGTTTCCCTTGCATGTAACAACAGTACAATGTTACTGTATGCACAATACTGTCAGATAGTCCAAAACTGACCAACAACCAACAAAAAGAATAGAGGGATGAGCTAATTTGGATGAAACACTAGCTGTCCAGATTGGCACTCAATGCTTTCATTTTAGTGGAAACACGTGGTCTGTGCTTTCTCTAAGAATTATATTACATCCAATCTGAACTGAGAACTAATGTAAGTCAATGCCATACAGTCTGAGTCTGTAGCTTTACTCTGAGTATGCATTAACTCAAAACCAAAAGTCTTAAAATGTTTTCTATTCTGGAGTTTTAATGTTCTTGAATGTCCATTTATCCAATTATTCCAGGTCCTGCATGACCTGGGACTGGACTCTGTTTTCAAGCTCATCTGCTTCTACTTTGCTCCTTCTCACTCAGCTCCAGAAATAACAGTTTCTCAAACATGCACCTGCCTTAAGGTTTTCCTCTTGATGTTCCCTCTGCCAAGAGTACTTTTTTCCTAGATTCTTACATTTTGTGATAATTCCCTCACTTCATGTGGGTTTCTAATTAAATGTCACCTCTCGAGAAAGACCTTCTTGGCCATTCTAGCTAAGATAGCTAGGCAGTAGCTCTCATCATACTCCATCCCTTTAGCCTGCTTCATTTTTGGTCACAGAACTTATTACCACCTAAAATCATATAGAACATCCAGTTGTTTGCATATTCACTGTCCCCTCCATGAAAATGTGAGCTTCCTGAGTTCAGAGTAGTTTGTTCCCAGTATCTTCTGCTACAAGAACAATGACCGGAACTTCTACTCAATGCATAATCATGTGTCAGGCACTGTGCTCAATGCTGAAGATATGACAATGAATAGAACAAAGTGTCCCTGAGTTCATGGGGTTTATATTCTAATGAAAGAGGATAATTAATAAACAAACAAGATAATTATAGATTACAATATATGCTTTTAAAGAAACATCATTAAAACAAAGAGGAACAATTGGAGGTCATTTCAAGTACGCTGATCAGAGAAGGCAAAGCCTCAATAAGCCTCAAAATCTAAAGGATGAAAATAAGCAAGCGTAAACAAACAAGATAATTATAGATTACAATATATGCTTTTAAAGAAACATCATTAAAACAAAGAGGAACAATTGGAGGTCATTTCAAGTAGGCTGATCAGAGAAGGCAAAGCCTCAATAAGCCTCAAAATCTAAAGGATGAAAATAAGCAAGCCAGGTGAAAAGCAACAGGTGAACACCAGTCTCCTGGAATATTACGTTAAGCACATTTTATCATGAGCACCCTAAAAGTTCAGTCCTGTTAAATATGAAATAATTTAAAATGACAGCCTCTTTAACCTTTCTAAATCATCTAAAATATATATCTAATTTCACCGACTTCCACTAAAATGTAAGGTCCTTGAAGGCAGGACTTAACCTGTCATGTTTACCTCCACTGCTATTAGCACCTGGAGAAGCACTGGCACTTAGATTAGATAGCACTCAACATCTTCTGAATAAATAATGAATAAAATTACTTGAGTTCAAATTTTCCACGTGGCAAGTGAATAAAAATTGAAGTATAGCTTTTACAAGAAACAATGTCTATATTCTAAATCAAAGGTCAGCAAACTATGATCCAGTCTAAATATAGCCTGTCGCTTGTTTATGTAAATAGAGTTTTATTAGAACACAGCCACACCCATCCATTTAGGTACTGTACATGGCTACTTCTGAGCAGCAGAGTTGAATAGCTGCAACAGAAACTGTATGGTCTGAAAAGCCTAAAATACACATCTTGCCCTTTACAGAAAAAGTTTGCTGACCTCTGCTCTACATAGTAATTGTCGCTGTATTTTTATGAATGCTAAACAAATTTTTTTGGTGGGAATCACTAAATTTATCAGTAACTATGATTTCTAAGCAAACCTCTGTAAAAATACACTGAAGATTATTTTATTGTTAAAAAATAATTATAAAAGTTATAAATAATAATTTATATCTATTCACTTTTATAAATGGGGGGTTTAATATATTGATATTATAGTTTTTAGAGTCTTTTTTTTTAAAGTATAAAAATCTTTATAGCTTTTTAAAAATAAATATCTTTAAGATATGTATAGATACATAAGATATGTTTATATATGTATTGGCATAGGCCAAAAAAAAAAAATCTTTCCATGGCCTCAAGTATGTTATCTTACCAGTTTTCGGAAGACTGAGTGGATTGTCTGCTTTTCTCTTTTATTCCCATTGTAAAAGGCAATTTCTTCACTATTAAAGAAAATAATTTAACAATTAATTTTTATATTACCTAAGCTTGAAAAATAATTGAAATACAGTCTCTGATGACTGAACATTTGTATTTAAATGAACATTTTGTGACTAATAGCTTATCTCGTACATCTCAAGCCATGGTCTGTACTTAAGATCCTGCTCTTAGCTCATCTGACATGAAGCACAGAAATAACACACCTGACTGGGTCTTACACTGGACTATAAACTATGCTTTATGCAAACTGGCTGGGAAAGATATGCTAAGCTAATTCTCAGAAATTTGAAATAAGACACAGAAGGAAGT